AGCATTTGACAAAGTACAGTATCCTTTCTTGATCAAAACTCTTCAGAGTTTAGGCATAGAGGGTACATATCTCAATATCATAAAAGCCATCTATGAGAAACCCACAGCAAATATCATTCTCAATGGGGAAAAACTGAGAGCTTTCCCCCTAAGGTCAGGAACACGGCAGGGATGTCCACTATCACCACTGCTATTCAACGTAGTATTAGAAGTCCTAGCCACAGCAGTCAGACAACAAAAAGAAATAAAAGGCATCCAAATCGGCAAAGAAGAAGTCAAACTCTCACTCTTTGCAGATGATACGATAATTTATGTGGAAAACCCCAAAGACTCCACCCCAAAACTGCTAGAACTCATACAGGAATTCAGTAAAGTGGCAGGATATAAAATCAATGGCATTCCTATACACCAACAACAAGACAGAAGAAAGAGAAATTAAGGAGTCGATCCCAATTACAATGGCACCCAAAACCGTAAGATACCTAGGAATAAATCTAACCAAAGAGGCAAAGAATCTGTACTCAGAAAACTATAAAATACTCAGGAAGGAAATTGAGGAAGACACAAAGAAATGGAAAAACGTTCCATGCGCTTGGACTGGAAGAACAATACTTTGAAGATGTCAATGTTACCTAGAGCAATCTACACATTCAATGCAATCCCCATCAAGAGACCATCCACCTTTTTCAAAGAAATGGAACAAATAATCCTAAAATTTGTATGGAACTAGAAAAACCCCGAATAGCCAGAGGAATGTTGAAAAAGAAAAACAAAGCTGGAGGCATCACAATTCCGGACACCAAGCTCTATTACAAAGCTGTCATCATCAAGACAGTATAGTACTGGCATAAAAACAGACACATAGATCAATGGAACAGGATAGAGAGCCCAGAAATGGACCCTCAACGCTATGGTCAACTAATCTTCAACAAAGCAGGAAAGAATGTCCAATGGAAAAAAAGTCTTTTCAATAAATGGTGTTCGGAAAATTGGACAGCCACATGCAGAAGAATGACACTGGACCATTTCTTTACACCACACACAAAAATAAACTCAAAATGGTTGAAAGACCTCAATGTGAGACAGGAGTCCATCAACATCCTAAAGGAGAACACAGGCAGCAAACTCTTTGACCTCAGCCGCAGCAACTTCTTTCTAGAAACATCACCAAAGGCAAGGGAAGCAAGGGCAAAAATGAGCTATTGTGACTTCATCAATATATAAAGCTTTTGCACAGCAAAAGAAACAGTCAAGAAAACCAAAAGATAACCGACAGAATGGGAGAAGATATTTGCAAATGACCTATCAGATAAAGGGCTAGTATCCAAAATCTAGAAAGAACTTCTTTTTTTTTTTTTTTAAAGATTTTATTTATTTATTCATGAGAGACAGAGAGAGAGAGAGAGAGGCAGAGGGAGAAGCAGGCTCCCAAGGAGCAGGGAGCCCGATGCGGGACTCGATCCCAGGACCCTGGGATCATGACCTGAGCCGAAGGCAGACGCTTAACCATCTGAGCCACCCAGGTGCCCTATAAAGAACTTCTTAAACTCAACACCCCAAGAACAAATGATCCAATCAAGAAATGGGCAGAAGATATGAACAGACATTTTTCCAAAGAAGACATCCAAATGGCCAACAGACCCATGAAAAAGTGCTCAACATCGCTCAGCATCAGGGAAATCCAAATCAAAACCTCAATGAAGTATCACCTCACACCAGTCAAAATGGCTAAAATTAACAAGTCAGGAAATGACAGATGTTGGCAGGGATGCAGAGAAAGGGGAACCCTCCTATACTGTTGGTGGGAATGCAAGCTGGTACAGCCAGTCTGGAAAACAATATGGAGGTGCCTCAGAAAGTTGAAAATAGAGCTACCATACGATCCAGCAATTGAACTACTGGGTATTTACCCCAAGGATACAAATGTAGGGATCCGAAAGGGTACATGCACCTGATGTTTATAGCAGCAATGTCCACAATAGCCAAACTGTGGAAAGAGCCTAGACGCCCATCAACAGATGAATGGATAAAGAAGATCTGGTATATATATACAATGGAATATTATGCAGCCATCAAAAAAAATGAAATCTTGCCATTTGTAGCGACGTGGATGGAACTGGAGGGTGTTATGCTGAGCGAAATAAGTCAATCAGAGAAAGACATGTATTATAAGACCTAACTGATACGAGGAATTCTTAATCTCAGGAAACAAACTGAGGGTTGCTGGAGTGGTGGGGGTTGGGTGGGATGGGGTGGCTGGGTGATAGACACTGGGGAGGGTATGTGCTATGGTGAGCGCTGTGAATTGTGCAAGACCGTTGAATCACAGATCTCTACCTCTGAAGCAAATAATTCATTATATGTTAAAAAAAAAAAAAAAGAAGATAGGAAGGGAAGAATGAAGGGAGGGAAATTGGAGGGGGAGACGAACTATGAGAGACTATGGACTCTGAAAAACAAACTGAGGGTTCTGGAGGGGAGGGGCGCGTAATGGGTTGGCCTGGTGATGGGTATTAAAGAGGGCACGTTCTGCATGGAGCACTGGGTCTTATGCGCAAACAATGAATCATGGAACCCTACATCAAAAACTAATGATGTAATGTATGGTGATTAACATAAAACAAAAAAAAAAAAGTGGGAGCAGGGGTCGTCAAAGAAAATATACGCTTTTCCTCTTCTGTGTAAAGAAACATGTATAGAATATCTCTTAAGTTCATAGAAGTCTATGATTATTACTAATTACAAAAGCTGAAGAAAAAGACACATTGTTTTGTTTACAATATGATTGCAGTTTCTGAGTCCTACCCATTTAATGCAGAGGCATTCAATAGATATTCTGAGCCAAAAATGAAAAAAAATAAAATAAACAGTATTTTAAGCTACTTAATCTTGGTTCAGAATTTCAGAGTATACTTTGGTAAAAACACAATAATTTTATTAAGAATCTTGTGCTTCATCTTTCACTAGCTATTTTGTAATAGGCATAAACGTTAGTTTTAAATTTATTGTACATTTTTAATTCAGGTTTAGAATTTGTGTGTGTTTGTAAAAAGGTTTTGAATTCAAATTTAAATATTGTTATTGCCAGAAAGGCCAGTAAATTTTCCTAATAAAAAAAATCCTTCTATCAAAAAAAAAAAAAAGGAATGAAATCTCGCCATTTGCAACAACGTGGATGGAACTGGAGGGTATTATGCTGAGCAAAATAAGTCAATCAGAGAAAGATATGTATCATATGACCTCACTGATATGAGGAATTCTTAATCTCAGGAAACAAACTGAGGGTTGCTGGAGTGGTGGGGGGTGGGAGGGATGGGGGTGGCTGGGTGATAGACATTGGGGAGGGTATGTGCTATGGTGAGCACTGTGAAGTGTGCAAGACTGTTGAATCACAGACCTGTACCTCTGAAACAAATAATACACTATATGTTAAAAAAAAAAAAAGAAGAAGATAGCAGGAGGGGAAAAATGAAGGGGGGTAATCGGAGGGGGAGACAAACCATGAGAAACTATGGACTCTTAAAAACAAACTGAGGGTTCTAGAGGGGAGGGGTTGGGGTGATGGGTTAGCCTGGTGATGGGTATTAAAGAGGGCAGGTTCTGCATGGAGCACCTGGTCTTATACGCAAGCAATGAATCATGGAACACTACATCAAAAACTAATGATGTAATGTATAGTGATTAACATAATAAAAAAAAATTTTTTTTAAATAATTATATAGCTCTTATTCACAGAAAGTTTTCCCACTCCGCAGAATTTTTAGCAAGCTTTCACATAGCTCTTTTTGCCATCGGACATAACAGCATTTGCTGCCATCAATTAAGCAACTACTAAGTGCAAGCCTTTGAAATAGACATTTTATTACTTTCTTTTTGTTAACAATAACCCAATGAGGCACACATTCTTATGCGCATTTCCCAGACGGAGAAACTAAGGCTTAGTGTGTTTAGCTTCTTTCCCAAGATCACACATTCAGGACCCCTAGGGGCAAAGGAGATCCCTAAGGTCTCAAGCACTGACTTTTCCTGCTTACCCACTGAGTGTAGCAGGAGAGCCAGCAGCCCCCCTCATACCCCCTTTTCTTCCTTACTAACAACATAGATATTTAAAAATCTTTAACTTCACTGAAGTCCCTTTAGTAGAGGTGACCCTATATAACAGGTTCTGGCCAAAGGTAGAGGTCCTCGGGATGGAATTACTTCCCAGAAGAAAAGTATACCTGGAGAAAATCCTCAGAACCTACAGTGGCCCAGAGAATTTAGCTTCCACCTCATGACCGCAAGAACAAACTCCGCACTAAGGCTGCACAACTCGGAACACATCTGACTCCCTGAACTTCTTATTGCAGGAGATAAATTCAACCCCATTTCTTCAAACACTCTAAAAGTTTCCTACTATCTGTATCTGAAAGCTTTCCCTAACTAATTCACCAAGTAAGAATTTCATTGCCTGAAATAGTATAGTCCTTTTATCATAGGTCATAACTGTTATTTCCCAAATCAGAATTTTTTTAAAATCCTGGAGCTGTGAGCCTAAGCTAACCTACTGAGCTCTGCTGATGACAGTAAACCCAGGAAGGACACATAAAAAATTTTAATAATTATCTATAGGAGGCAAGAAAAAAATGGGGTAAATAGTGACAAAGATGAGAGATTTCTCAAAAATTACCTTTTTACATTTTGATATTTTTAAACCATAAATATATAGTCTACCCAAACTATGTAAATAAATCAAAGAAGGATATATTAGCCTTATACCATTTCTGTCAAGAAATCAACAAAATAGGGGCGCCTGGGTGGCTCAGTCGTTAAGCGTCTGCCTTCGGCTCAGGTCATGATCCCAGGGTCCTGGGATTGAGCCCCGCATCGAGCTCCCTGCTCGGCGGGAAGCCTGCTTCTCCCTCTCCCACTCCCCCTGCTTGTGTTCCCTCTCTCTCTCTCTGTCAAATAAATAAATAAAACCTTTAAAAAAAAAAAAAAAGAAATCAACAAAATATTACCTTTCTTGGGTCTAGGGGATAATTCGAGGTGCTTTTCTGTAACAATCTTCTTTTCAGCTGTTAATGACTGCAGGAAGATGACAATAATAATAATAATGATAATATAGTAATTTATGTGAACAAGGGCTAAAACCTTAAACTACACCCTCCTTAAAATATGCCTCTCTTTTATTTATATTTACCAATAAGTATTCCCAAAGCACATACTCCTCATACATATATAAATGTATTCTTATGTTCTACCAGAATCTAAACAGAGAACTAACCATTAAGAGTTTGTAACAGTATTCCATTTTGTACATATCTATAAGTATTTCAAAATTAGCATATATACAAATATTAACCAGAATATCTTGTTGCCAAAAGATCCTGAGTATACAAGCATTTCATAAATATACTTCTTATGAAGAGTAGGATGCTCAAAGATTTCATCTTCTGGGCGCCTGGGTGGCTCAGTTGGTTAAGCGACTGCCTTTGGCTCAGGTCATGGTCCCGGGGTCCTGGGATCGAGTCCCGCATCGGGCTCCCTGCTCTGCGGGAAGCCTGCTTCTCCCTCTCCCACTCCCCCTGCTTGTGTTCCCTCTCTCGCTGTGTCTCTGTCTGTCAAATAAATAAATAAAATCTTTAAAAAAAAAAAAAAAAGATTTCATCTTCTAAGAAACTTCTCAGTAGGTATCCTACATTTACAAAGAAGTACAAAGGTTGGGCCTGGCATAAAGAGGTGATTACTAACTTGCCACAATTACTAAGGGAATTCAAGGTTGAAAAAAGAAGACTGTACCGGGACGCCTGGTGGCTCAGCCAGTTAAGCGGCTGCCTTCGGCTAGTGTCAAGATCCTAAGGTCCTGGGATCCAGTCCCACATCCCCACATCAGGCTCCTTGCTTAGTGGGGAGCCTGCTTCTCCCCCTGCCTGCTACTCCCCCCGCTTGTGCTCACTCTCTCTCGCTGATTTAAAAAAAAAAAAAAAAAAAAAAAAGGCGACTATACCAATTACTGTGTCCTGAAATAAGGTAGGGAGTTCCAAAGAAATATAATTACAGTGGCCTAAACACTCAGGAATCTAAGTATCCTTTGGCATTCAAGGAAAACAATTTTATAATTACTTTACCAGAGTCTCAGAAGTGTCCTGAAATCCTTCTCCACATCTGAGCCATGCTTCAGAGAGGGAAGCAGCTGCCCCCACTGTCTTGAGACCTGCTCTTCTGAACTTCAGTGGACTCCCTCTTGGAAAGGATGGGTATTCTATATCCCAATTTCTTTGTCTCTGTAGAGATGGTTTTTAAAGAAAAAAAATGAAAAACAAAAATCAAATAAACTTCATTAAATATACGTTAAGTTGACATTCCTGTGGAAACCCAGGAATGGCAATGGTGAAGGCATATGTTTTGAATGTCTCTGAATCCCCATGTAAAAAAAAAAAAGTAACAAGAAAGCACATAAACATGTACAATTAGAGAACAAATTCCAAAATACAAATAGGTAAGGACAAATATTCAACCCTCCAAAAGTCCTGCATATGATTCTGAGAGCAAACCTGAGAGAAGTGAAGGAGCAAAGGAGGATCTGAGTACATAAACATGTGGTGTTCACTAGGAAGTGGAGCAGGCAAGCTGAGAATGAAATGGTACCTGAAACAGGATGAGGACAAGGGTTCCACCCAAGAAGATCCAAAGGAATAGGAGCAGTCTAGGACATTTAGCACTGGTCAGCCAGGACTACCTTCTTGGACTGGGCCTCACACTGCAGAGAAATTGCTGGCAGTGGAATCTGCTCAGCAGCACAGGGATGGTAGAGACAAAGAAAAGAAAAGGTCCAGATGGAGTGGAGGAAGGGAACTGAGCCAGAAAATATCTAAATAACAAACATGTGGCCATATTTTTGCAAATTACAGGAAAATAACAGAAATTATCAAAGCTATTTTGAATCCTGCCTTCTTCTAAAAATGCACAGAAACTATAACATAAAAATAGGCAATAGAAAGGGATCAAGGTTAAATCCAGTACAAAGTTATAATTAGAAAAAATGGAATGGAGCAGAATAACATTCCAACACACAAAGAAAGCATACTAAAGACATGTTGATAGAACAGAAAAAGTGTAACCTATTATTTCAATATAAGACAACATATTTAGATTACAAAAAGTCAGAAATGAAGTAACAAAACTTAAGCAGTAGAATAAAGTTAAAAAATCAGCTGAAGGAAAGAGTCCAGATGTCCATCCACAGATGAATGGATAAAGATGTGGTTTATATACATGATATACAATGTACATACAATGGAATGAGTATATATATATACACACACATATATATACACATACACACACACACACATATCCATACAATGGAATGTTACTCAGCCATCAAAAAGGATGAAATCTTGCCATTTACAACAACATGGACGGAGCCAGAGTATGTTATGCTAAGTGAAATAAGCCAGTCAGAAAAACAAATACCATGATTTCACTCATATGTGGAATTTAAGAAACAAAACAGATGAACATGGGGGGAAGAGAAGAAGAGAGAGATGCAAACCATAAAACAGACTCTTAACTACAGAGAAAAAAATGAGGGTTTCTAGAGGGGAGGTAAGTAGAGGAAAGGGTTAAATGGGTGATGGGGATTAAGGAGAATACTTGTGATGAATACTGGGGCTATTGTATGTAAGTGATGAATCACTGAATTCTACTCCTGAAACTAATATTACACTGTATGCTAACTGGAATTTAAATAAAAACTTGAAACAAAAAATAAAATATTCTCTCAACATGGAAAAAAAATCAGCTCAGGAAAAAAAGACTAAACTGGAAGGAATCCAAAAGCAAGTAGCTATCACAGATAATATCTTAAAAAAGTAATAAGAAGGAAATTTTAAAGTTCACCTACCTCCAATGAAGAAAGTAAAAGTATTCAAGAGAAACAGAGTGATCAGTCAAGTCTCTCTTGTGATCAACACACAGATAATAGCAATCCCTGAAGAAGAAGAAAACCAAGATAATGGGACAGAACAAATATTAAAAACTGCAATTCCAGAAAAACTTTCCTGAAATCTTAAAAACAAATTGCATATTGAAGCACACCACATACCTGGTAATATCAACCCCAAAGCAATCAAAACCAAGATATATCCTAGAAAACAGATCTTTAAACAAATGCTTTGTACATCTAGGGAAAGGAATAAATGACTTACAAATGAATAAAAATTACCTTATCATAGGATGTTGACAGCAACTTTATGCCAGAAAAAAAAAAAAACAGAAAAGTGTATTTAAGATACTCAAGGGAAGAAAATGTGAGTGAAGGAGTTTTATCCAGCAACAGTGATAACACTGATTTATTTTCTCCAAATGTTTTTGTATAAGTTTTGCTTTTTTTTTTTTACAAATGTCTACAACATGCATTCATTTCATAAGATTTTAAATTTGCATTTTATTTAAGAAAAATCTTTTAGATTTGTACCACAAATCAAATTAAGGTCAACTACTATAAGTTGATCACCTGAATAATACAAAAAAAACCCTCATCAACATCACTGTGGTTAAAAAAGAAATGAATTAAGATTAAAATACACCAGTAAAACTTCCGTAACTAGAACAGAGGGAACAAATCCAAAAAACAAATTCAGCCATAACATAGATGGTATTTTAATATGTAAGAGCCCTAAGCATATTCCTCTTTATGTAGAAATTCCTATGGCAGGGCAGGACTACAAACGGAAGCATCTATCCTCAAGAGGGTATTTACCCTCCACTAGTGGCAGTTTCCCCTGACAGCTCTGAAGAAGCTCACTTTGTTAACTAGAACAGTAAATAAAGAGGAAGATAACATTTGGTCTCTTTTGAGCCAATTTTTTTTTTTAACTCCAGAATACTCTTTAATGCATTAAATCAGCCCAGGTCAGCTCTGTAAACGAATGGGTGACATGGGGGAATAGGACAGGGAAGTACAAGATGAGCCTGAAATATCCTGAACCAGACAGTAAGAAAGCACTCAAGGAATGAGAACATATAAGGACACATGAGCCTGCGTGAATGGCCTCTCACTGGCCAAATGTGGAACATTCCTGCACCAAATAAATAATGACAGTAAAGGATTATAACCTATTGAATAAAATAGGCATATGAGTCTACATTGATATAAACAGTGGATTTAGAAAATCATCAATGAAAGCTGAAACTAGTAGGTGACAGTTTAATGATGCAGAGGATATTTACATGTTCATGAAGCATCTCCCCACAAATTACTTATTAATTCCAAAGGGAAAAACAGTAACTTTAAAGTGGGGAAACCTGCCAGACACCACTTTAATCAAGTAACCAGCATCAAGTGCCTCTTGATTGGAGGCACTGAAAAGAACACAAGATTTCTGTGGTATTCCTACCAGAGAGAAATAACCTAAATCTAAACTGGGGAAAATATCAGACAAGACCACAATAACTGGACTGTACACCTCAGCAATGACAAGGTCAAGAAATACAAAGAAAGTCTGAAGAACTGTTTCAGATTAACAGAAGATTAAAGAGGCATGGAAAGGAAATGAAATGTATGATCCTAGATTGGATCTTGGACCAAAGGAAAAAAGGTCATTATTAGGCAATTGATAAAATTTGAATATGAACTGTTGACTAGATAATAATATTGTATCAGTTTTTAATTTCTTATTTTTGTAATTATACTATGCTTGTGTAAGAGAATATCCTTATTCTGGAAATAAATATTTAGAGGTAGAGGTACAGAAAAAAATTGATACACACATGCATGGGGAGAGAAAGAGGGAGAGGAGGGGGAGAAAGAGGAAAAGAAAAGAGAGAGAGGCAAAAAATAATAAACTAGTGAAATGGAGTAAAGGGTTATATTAGTTTCCTAGGATTGCTGTAACAAATGACCACAAACTCAGTGGCTTAGAACAACATAATTATTCTCACAATTCTGGAGCCAAGAAGTCCAAAATGAAGGTGTTAGCCCCTCTGGAGGCTCCAGGGAAGAATCTTTCCTGGCCTCTTTCTCCCAGCAATCCTTGCCTTCATTGGATTGTGGCTGCATCATTACCATCTCTGCCTCTGTCATCTTGTGGCCTTCTCTCACGTGTCTCCCTGTGTATCTCCTCTTCTCACAAGTCACTGGGATTTAGGGCTCACCCTAATGCAGTAGAACTTCATCTTAACTAATTACATCTGCAAAGGTCCTATCTCCAAATGAGTCTACCTTCTGGAGTTCCAGGTGGACAGGAGTTTGTAGAGGACACTATTTAACCTATTTACAGTTCCACCATAAGAAACTTCATTACACTATTCTTCCAACTCTTCTGTAAGTTTGAAATTCTGTCAAAATAAAAGTTAACAACAACAACAAAAAAACCCCACTAAATAACTACATAAGCCCAGGATGATCCCAGCAAGAAGAGAAATATAGTCAATTTTCATTATTCATAGTAGTTATCATTTAATAAAGTCACCACAAACAATGAATAGCAAATACTGAACCACTATTTCTAGGGGAAATACAGGATTGATTCCTGTCAGTATACAACCTTATTTTATGTGTATTTCTGCTTAAAAACACCTTATTTAATATATATAGTTGATTCTTTAACATTGAACTCATGGCCAACAGCACTACAACTCATACCTGAACAAAGCTGATCTAACATGAATTTTCTCTGTAAGGCACATCACAGTTGTTCTGCACTTAGGGACACCTAGACAGCACCTAAGAACTACGCTTGGGGGCCATTTTACACAGTGAAATCACACAAAGCACAAAACTGTGAAAAACATGGCATTAAGTAGACCAAGAAAGGACACACTTATTTACAGTGTAAAGAGCTGGAACAAGCAGGCAGAATGGGCCCTTGTTTGACCTCAGCTGAGAACTTACACGTCAAGCGACTCAAATTTTTCTCTGCTCTACACATGTCCACAAATTACTGTAAAAGCACCGCAAGCATTGATTTGGAGATTACAAATAAATTTGGGCAAAGAGGGGAATTTGTTAATACAGAATCTGAATAATGAGGATCGACTATACTTTGAATAGAACTTTAAAAGGAAGCAATTGAAGTGGTTAAAACACAAAAGTGTTTCATTGCTTCATTGTTTTACTATCCAGCCCCTCAGAAACCACTTTTCCTTCTTGTTGCTGCTCTGCTCAATTTTTCATTTCTTTAGATACACCATGCTTATGAATTTTATTTATTCATTTTGAAACTTTACTCCCTAAAAAAGTAAATGCATGCCACCATACATCTTTGGGCTACTCCCCCTG